GCTTCCATTGCCTCCTCACAATGCCGTTCGGCGGAGCTTTTTCGAGTGGTGCAAGGCCTGGTTCACCCGGGTCCTAAGGAAGATCCGGTTCCACCCTCAAAGGCCCACTGTGACAACTTTGCCAGGCATTTCAGGGAGAAAATCGCTCAGATTCGTCACGAGCTGGACTCCACTAATGAATCAGAGGTTTCTGGGGAGACGCCAATGCTGCCGTGTGGTCCAGAATTATTGGATGAATTTCAGTTATTGCAGCCCGATGATGTGGACAAGGTGCTTGGACGAGTATGTCCCACCACTTGCCTATTGGACCCTTGCCCGTCTTGGTTAATAAATAATTCCAAGCACGGGATTGGGACCTGGATCTTGGAAGTAGTTAATGCTTCTCTGAGGGAGGGGTGGGTGCCTGCCCCTTTAAAGGAGGCGGTAGTCCGACCGGTCCTGAAGAAAGCGTCACTGGATCCAGAGATGGCCACTAACTATAGACCAGTGGCCAACATCCCGTTTCTGGGCAAGGTGTTGGAGCGGGTGGTGGCGGGACAACTCCAAGCACTCTTGGATGAAGCTGATTATCTGGACCCATTTCAGTCCGGCTTCAGACCTGGGTACAGTACTGAATCTGCCTTGGTCGCCCTGTACAATGACCTGTGCAGGGAGAAGGACAGGGGGAGTGCATCCCTGTTGGTTCTTCTGGACCTCTCAGCGGCTTTCGATACCATCGACCATGGTATCCTTCTAGATAGGCTAGCAGGATTGGGGGTCGGAGGCACTGCTTTGCAGTGGTTCCGCTCCTATCTCAACGGCCGATTCCAGAAGGTAGTGCTGGGGGACTATGGCTCTGCGCCATGGCAGCTATGCCATGAAGTACCACAGGGCTCCATTTTGTCCCCTTTGCTGTTTAACATCTATATGAAACCGCTGGAAGAGGTCATCAGGAGGTGTGGGCTACGGAATCATCAGTACGCTGATGATACCCAGCTCTACCTCTCGTTTTCCACCAATCCAGGTGAGGCAGTGGCTGTGCTGAACCGGTGCTTGGCCGAGGTAATGCGCTGGATGAGAGCCAATAAACTGAAGCTCAATCCAGACAAGACGGAGGTCCTGTTGGTTGGTGGATCGGGCTTCGGAGAGGGTGGATTTGACCTGGCCCTGAATGGGGTTGCACTCCCTCTTAGGGACAAGGTCCGCAGCTTAGGAGTACTCCTCGACCCGGAGCTTTCATTGGAAGCTCAGGTGACAGCGGTGGCGAGGAGCACTTTCCTTCAGCTTCGGCTGATTAATCAGCTGCGCCCCTACCTGGAGTACGACTGCCTGGCGACGGTGACACATGCGCTGGTGACTCCCCGCCTTATTTATTTTTATTTATTTATTTATTAAAACATTTCTATGCCGCCCCTTGCCAAGGCCTCGGGGCGGCTTACAACATTGAATACAAAATACATTAAAACAATGACAATTAAAATATATACAGTAAAATAAAATAAGCCGCCCTGGCCGAATAAAATTCAATAATATTAACATTTAAAATGCTGCATAAATAAAAAGGTCTTCGCCTGGCGCCGAAAAACAAATAACTTCTGTAACGCACTTTACGTGGGGCTTCCCTTGAAGACGGTCCGGATACTTCAATTGGTTCAAAATAGAGCTTCCAGGCTGCTGACGGGGACGGGGCGTTATGTTCACATGACTCCAGTCCTCCGACAGCTTCACTGGCTTCCCACTGAAGTCCGGGCCCAATTCAAGGTGTTGGTTATGACCTATAAAGCCCTAAACAGCTTGGGACCTGGTTACCTGAAGGAGCGCTTACATTCATATATGCCCGACCGCCCCTTGAGATCTGCGGGAGAGGCCCTTCTCCGGGAACCCTCCGTGAAAGAAATTAGGAGGGTAGGTACTCGGGGGAGGGCTTTCTCTGTGGTGGCGCCCAATCTATGGAATGTGCTCCCCAGAGAGGTCCGCCTGGCGCCGTCGTTATTTGTTGTTCGGCGCCAGGTGAAGACCTTTTTATTTAAACATCATTTTAATTGTTAACAATATTTACTTATTTATCTGGCCAGGGCGACTTCTTTTCTTTTCTTTTATAACTTTTCTAACTTCTTTTATATCATTTATATTTTTATTTATTTTATATTATTAATTTTAATTTTATATTGTTATTTTTGTATTGTATTGTATTTTATTGTGTTGTAAGCCACCCCGAGGCTTCGGCAAGGGGCGGCATAGAAATGTTCTAATAATAATAATAATAATAATAATAATAATAATAATAATAATAATTCTGGATCATAATCTCAATATGAGTCAATAATGTGATGTGGCTGCAAAAAGGGAAAATATCACTCCCAAATCCTGTGAAGTACTAGTTCCTCTATACTCAGCACTGGGCAGGGCTCATCTGGACCTCTGTGTGCAATTCTGGACACTACAGTTTAAGAAAGAGGCAGACAAGCTAGACAGAGTTCAGAGGAGGGCAACAAGGATGATCCAATTACTGGAAACAAAGCCCTGTTAGGAGTGAGTGAAATATGTTTAGCTTCAAGAAGAGAAACTGGGGGGAAATAGCACTCTACAAGTATTTGAAAGTTTGTCACAGAAAGGAAGGCCAGGATCTCCTTTCAATTATCCTAGAATGCAGGAAACAAAATAAATGAATTTTTAAATAAATAACTAAATGGCTTAAATCTTCCCTTTTCATTTTCCTATCATTTTAATGTTTAATTGATTTTAACTGGGGTTTTAGTATTTCAGTTGTTGGATGCTGTGATATTTTGTTTTATTCTATTCCTTTTTTATTGTAAGCTGTCCCAAGATGCTAGTGGTGGACGGATTAGAAAATATTTTAATAAATAAATAACAGGAAGCCAATTTCCAGATAAATCTCAGGAAAAATTTGAGTATCAGAGCGGTACAACAATGGAATCAAATATTTGTGGGGGGGTTATGGGTTAACATTCAGGATGCAACTGAGAGGGATAGTTCAACTTGGTGTCCTGCACTGAGCAGGGGCTTTGATCGATGGTCTTCTGCCCCCTTTAACTCTACTGTTCTATGATTCTATGGTTTTGTTAACATGGTACTAAATCCTGCCAACTAAAAAAAATCAACTAATTTGTGACCAAATAAAGGATTTTCTCTTCTTCTGTATAAATGTTAAGAAAGTGCACAAAGAATCTATGGTGGTCTCATGTCACTTTTTATGACAGAACTGCTGTAAAAACAAAATGATTCTGGCAAAATATCACTGCTGAAGAATTAATATTTTACTATGACTTCTAGTAGAAATTCTGGTTCCCAAATAATACATATTATATATAATATAGCAAGGTTGAAGTTTTTCTGTTAGCTCTTACCAAAGTTACCCTCAAGATGTGAACCTTTGCTTGAAAATAAGAGGAAAAGAACAGCATTAAAAGCTTAACAAAAATGGTTCACCTCATAGATGACGATATGACTTGATTCATATCAAGATTATACAACACAATTTATCAGAAATATATATTTTATCCACCCATGTAGAACAGATTCTTTCCTATTACACTGGTCATTCCTTGGTCTAATGGGCCACAAACCTCTACTGACCCCAAAAGGAAAAAGGTCCTTTTATCAAATTTTATACCTAAAACCTCATATAATACTTTTATGTGAAATGCTGCTCAGAGGGCTGTAATTCTGAAATGATATATTGTCCTATTAATATGTTTCTCATCAGTTTGTGTGGTTAAAGAACCCACACGCCATTCAATAAAGCTGACTTCAATACTGTGCTTCAACAGATATTTGTGACCGGTCAAACCATCTCCCATAGTAAGTCAGTTCAATGTTAAAATCACATTTTGGATGATGAAAGTCAAGCAACTGATTTTGAACTCTATGGTAAAATTACACTATCAAAATTACACTTGTATGCAATGTACGTTTAATTCACTTCTTAAAATAGTACTTGCAAAGAGCTATTTTAGGCTAACACACCAATTATACATTGAACTTAAATAAAAACAAACCATCTCAAATTATTACCAAGGGGGTAAATCTTTCATGTAGTCTGGTGGTATGACAAATCCATGCGCAACATATTCCCATACAAAGGACAAAACCAGGACTGGCTTTCTCTGAGATTCCAGGATACATCTGTTTTCCTTCTAACATAGTCACAACCTACCCTTTAAAATAGATCAGAGAAAAAACTATACATGCACAATGGGCCATTTCACACAATTAAATGGCCCACCGCAGCTTATTTAAGACATGGTGGGCTGTTGCATATTCCAGTGACCAGCCTGAGTATTCAATAACTAGCCACAGCTAGTCGTATCATATAAATCCAGTTAAACAACAGAATAGTTGAATCCTGCCCAGCACATATTGACAGATGCCACTGGCACAGCAGCTGTTTTGATCCTGAAAACCAGATTATGATGATGGGGAGCAAGTGGAATGGGAGAGGGAAAAATGCAGGACAAGAGAATGCTCCAAGAAAAGCTGAGGTAGTCTATCACCCTGTCACTAATCATTGCAAAACTGTTTCAGTCCTTGAAAAGTTATATATCAATTGCTGTTAGTAAAGATTTTACTTGCACCCTTTCATCAAAGTTGATTATACTTTATAGTGATAATGGTCCAGTGTCTAGTAATCTATTTGTATCACTCATAAATGAGCAAACTGTAAACTGCAGCATTATCTATGAACCTTTATTGAAAAACACGCACTCACTGAGCAAATTTAATGATGGATATCAAAATGGCTTTGTACTTTTTCCACTGTCTAGTGCGAAAACCATTTATCATCGACAAGTTTCATTAATTGTTCAGACATATAACCATACAACTGAAATTTGTCATATTTGTATTTCATATTTCATTGCTCCCTGATACTGTTTTCCTTCTTCCAGTTCATCTTAACTACAAAACAGATTTTTGTATTCACAGTATGATGGCAATCATAATGATGATTAGCTTGTTAATGAAGTTTTGACACAGGTACTATTGTAGGTTCATATTCTTACCAAGAGCTGCTACTTTTATGATTATGGCTTGAATGTCTGAGGATATCATTTCTCTGAACAAAGTTTCTTGGTTCTGGCGCCAAAGGTAAGCTAAGGGCTGCAGAGCAAGCCTCTTGCACCTATATGAACAAGGAAAAATTGGCTGTGTTATACTCATGCACAGGGATTTAAGTTCCAAAACAGGCACACACAAAATGATCTATGAATGCTACGTTTTAACTTAGCAAATTCTGACAGATTTTCCCATTTACACAATGGGAGAACAAAAAGCAGACATCTCCAGGTATATCATTTCAAATATGAAACACAGAAATGAGTACTCAAATGTCACTGGAGCACTATGTGCCACTTGGGATCACTGTAGGCCAGTGCATATATTTAGGACACTTATACATATAGACAATTCATTCAATTACATGAGGCCTGTTTTGTTAGAGACAAGAACTTATATACAATAGGGAATGTGTCAAATTTTTATCTTCCCTCTTTTATATCTTCCAAGTGTACATATTTGTATTTTATCCCTTGTAAATTGTGGAAACACCCCTACAATTATATATTTAGTGCCATACAAAAATTTAAATGTATGAAATTCCCAGAGTTAACGTCAAGAAAACTATTCCCAAAGTTAAGTATCTAAGCCCACAAATAAGCTAGCTATGCTGTCCTGAGGCAGACATAATTCTGTGAACAGCCTGAAATGCAATAATCCAAGAAATATGCCTAAAACTTATGACAGCGTTGAAAATAAGGTTAGAGAACAGAGATTTTAGAATACATGTTACTCTTAAATGCATTCAAACATGTTTTAATTCCTTAAAGGACCCCTTAGTAAAAGTGATACATATGGAAAGTGTTATTGAGACAGATAATTCAAGGATGCTATTTTAATATATTTTTCAAATGAGCTTACACAGCTCAGACCCCCTAACAGATATCTTAAAATGGTTCAATGAGCTACAATAAGCTGCTGTTGACAAATACATTGGTCTTAATGGCTATGCCACTTGATGTTTTACTCAAACCTTTCAATTTCTCTTTCTTTTAAATAACCCATACTTTATCACATTTACAGTGCAGTTCTACTTAGAAAATTAAGTTCCATTGCATGCATGTAGCCATAGTCTCAGTTTAATTTTGCTTGTGCTTATAATCAAAAAGTTGCAAGGAGACTTTATTTAACCAAGCAACATGCTGAAATACTACTTTTTGGAGATTTAAAATTTAATTCCATTTTCTATCTAAAATACACATAAATCATGAGGAAAAAATGAAGTAATCTAGGAAGCAGGAACATTACTAAAACAAGAAATATATGCAGGAATGTGAAAGAAAGTAATATAAGCTGTAACACTGCTTAATTTTTAAAAAAAAACTCTTCTATAGTCACTGAACCAATAAACAAGAACATATGTTCTTAATGCTGTTACTATGAATAGTGCTATTGACTTAAACAGGATTACTCATTCTAGTGAAGTTAATAGCACAAGATCATGTAGTCTGGGGATGAAGCAGTATGTTTTGCTGTCTAGCAAAAATAGCATGAAGTCTAGCGTAAAGTCCTTTTCTGCTATAAAATCAAAGTCAAAAAGCTATAATGCTTCTGTCATTTAGTAAAACTGGAAACTCCTTTACATACAGAAAAAAAATGCAAAAATGAGCTGGGATCCAAAGACTCACTTCAGGAGTGTATACTGACCCACCCTTTAACCAGCTGAGTCGTGAGCCATATTGCAACTTGTTTTTGAAACTTCCCCCCTTTGAAAACGCTGCACAGCATAGCAATTCGTTGTTAGAAAAAAATGAGTCCTTTATTTTCTGGAGTGGTTATGGTTCTTTATACCTTACCAACCATTTAAACCAAATATATGTCTTCTGTATTTGATTTGATTTACTTATTCAGTTTATATCCTGTATTACAGCCAGAAAATATGTCAAAGAGGGTCCCAACAATAAAGCAAATCATAACGATTCAATATATAATTACAATTGAGAGAGCATTCTTATGATCCGTTGGAGGTCAGAGACAGCACACTGGCCTTGGAAGGGAGAGCCAGAGATCTGACCCTAGATTCTACTGGCTCAGAGAGCTGCACCAGTTGCCTCTGCAAGGCTGAAAATGCAACTCAGAGATTCAGAAGATTAGGCATTTCAATGAGTGAGATGTGGACACCAGAAAGGCCAGGATATGAGATCTTGAGTCTTCTCAAACGTCCTTACCTCCCACTCCAAAATGTCCTTATTGTGCTGAAAAAGTCCTTCTAGAAAAATTGTAGGAAATCAAAGGAATGGTAAGCAAAAATGGCCTCAGCTGTTTGTCCTACCCTACCAACATCAGGTTCAGAAGGGCATAGGAAGCTTGGAATCTTCTGAGCAATGAGGGACTCAACTGACAAACTGTGCCCTGAAGAATTGTTTTTTAAAGACCCTCTGAAAATAGTCCAGCTATGCAAGTAAACAGTGGCACTTCTCAAAGTTTTCCTTAAAAAAAGGAACATGCTTACCAAAATCAACATGGAGTTTGCTCAACAAGTCTTCGGAGAATATTTCATAAGATTAACAGCATAGGACTGGTTTCTCTAAAGCAAATGAAGCTGACCCTCAACTAAGATTTCCTACAGGTAGAGACACAGTGGAACAGTGGCTTAATGACGCTGGAACTGTCAGCCAGAAATGGTTGGCATTCTGGCGGTTTGAGCCCAAACCAAGGAGACGGAGTGAACTCCCATTGCTCGTCCCTAGCTACTCTCCATCTAGCAGTTCAAAAACATACCAACTGCGAGTAAGTAAATAGGAATGACCATTCCCTGGTGGGAAAAATGCTGGCTATGTTTGCATGGAAGCTAGGACCAGGGCTGGATCTGCCTTGGACGCGTTCAGCAAAGGATTGGCGGAGGAAAGCCGCAGATCAGCTGACTTCCTCAAGAACGTTGCTGGTCAGCTGGTGTTAAGCTAGATCACACCATGTGGTGCACGGGTTCAAGAAAAGACTAGAAACTGTCAGCCACAAGAACATTTACTGCATGTAAAAAAACACTGTAGACTCCCTGGCCATGTATGCCATACTCTAAATAAATAAATCCTGCAAGTGGCCTCCTTCCTGGAGTAAGGAAAAGAGCTATGGAAGGGACATCCCTTTGGTGGTACTCACATTATGGAATGGTGCACTTATGTAGACATGAAGACCATTGGGTCCAACCCCCTGCTGTTGCAGGACACTAATTTATGCCATCCCACTCAGATGGCTGTCCAGTTTCTTTTCAAATGTCTCTAGTGCAGGACTTGTTATTCTTTTAAATATACTATAGCTATTGTTTTTAATCTTTTATCTTTTTATCTTCTATTGTTATTCTGCATCAGTGAAAGATGAGAGTACACCATCGGCAAACATATGCCACTACAATAAGTGGAAAGAGGCAGATTTGCATACAAATAAATTCACTTGAGAATAAGTAAGTTTGATCATTTTAAAGGTTTAGCCCATAGAAGGCCAGAGCAGCCACCATCACGTAATAAAACTAAAGCCACAATTATTACAGAATGTTTACTGCTTATAGCTGTAAGCCATTGCAAACAGTGCAAAAATAAATATATCTGAAACCAAGCCACAAATTAGGAGAAATTGAGCTTCCCAGTTTACATTTAACATGAAAACTTAACTAAAATGTATGTCATAAAATCTCTGAATAATTACTGTCACTTAACTTGCTTAAGTTTAGAGAATCATCTTTACAGTTCACTAAACAACTTCCCCTATATAGGGTCCACTAACTTAAAATGCAGTAATTCAACATAGTGATAAAATATGGACCCTATCCCACAAAAATTAGAACCATTTCTACAGTATATGAAGCTAAGCCTGCAATCCTGCGCACACTTAACCTGGCAATAAGTTCCTCTGAAGTAAACTAGATTTACTTCTAAGTGGACATACATAGGATTGAAAAAGAACTGCTAATAAGGATTACTAACAGGCTGTTAGCTGCTCAATCCAAAGATCTTTGTAGATGGGGGAGATCTATACAGATCACTTGTGCATGGTTCCTATTTACTGCAATGGAAGGACTGTAATCAGAAATTAATCTGCATGTGAATTGGTGTCATCCGCCAAAATGCACATGGGCATTATTCCAGACAGTGGCATGAATCTAATGGTGTTACTCTATCAGCAAAGTGGAAACTGCTGTTGGAACATATTTCCCCTCACCCTGCAACTCTGTAGATACGTTCTGAAGGGTTAGTAGACTTATTCACTCATATTGTCTTTAACAAGACCTCCATGTAGACTATCCACAACTAGATCTTTCTGCTTTTCTATCTTATATTTCAGATAGTTCTCTTGGCATTTCCCGCTTGATTTATCCCCCTGAAACAAGCCATGCCATTCACATTTGGAGACACAAGCTGTGCTCAGGCAGGTATTTAAGAAAATGGCACCCAACATATCCCATTGTTTATATAAGTCACAGTCGTTTGCTTAAGCAATGGTAATCATGCAAAGTGCATCAATCTGAGGAGGAGGAGGAGGAGGAGGAGGAGGAGGAGGAGGAGGAGGAGGAGGAGGAGGTTTAAAAAGTTTTCTGGGTTTTTTTTAATCACATGCCTTAATTTATTCCTCCTTAGTTTCAAAGTTTGTAATTCAGCTTTCCCTAACCTCATGCTCTCTAGATGGTTTGTACTTCAACTCTCATTAGCCCCAGCCAGAATGGCTATCAGGAATTCTGGGAATTGTATTCCAAAACATTTGGAATGTGTTACAGAATACTGTAAGTCAGCTTCTTTATAATTTCCTTAATGACTTCTACTTTTCACATTGTTGGTTAAGGTTTATATCTTCAGTTTTGCTTGTTTCATTTTCTTCTGCTTTTAGGTGAAACACTCTTTCAACTCACTGTCAGGAATCTCATATCCTGTTATACCTTTCCCTTAAACCAACTTCATTATTTCATAATATAAAGATGTAGTAAAAGCTCAGCATTAGTGGCCTACTCCTTAAACCAGGGTTGGCAACTTGTAATCCTCCCAGTCATTTGCCCTACTTTTATCCCTCATTGGACATGCTGGTTAAGGCTGATGCAAGTTGTAGGATAAAATAACTGGAGGCCACGAGCTGCTCATCCTCAGCTCGGATAGTATAAGTTTTGCAGACTTCATTTCTTAACACTGCTCAGTATATTTTAAGCACTTCATATGCCTCCAAGTTATAGCTAACAATAAAAAGAAACCCAGATCACAATCACCAATATTCTATCCTTAAAAGCCTGAAGATGTATGTATACTTTCTTCACTCACAAGAGCAGGAGCGTAAAACATCATACCTACACAAGGAGAGCGTATGTAGAGCAGGGGTGGGCAACGTGAGGCCATGCAGATGCTTGGTTCTATAGCTCCCATTAGCTCTAGCCCATCCAGCTCTGCAAGAGAGATCATGGGGACTATATATCAAAACTCCTAGAGGACCACAACTTGTCTAACCTGATGCAGAACAGGAGAACCCTATGCTAACACTGCTGTTGCCCATATGTACCTCCAGAAAACATTGGTTATTGGGCAGAGTAAAATGCAAAGCAATAAATAAATGCACTATGTTAACCTACAACAGTTCTTATACTTCTTCCTTCTCTTCAGAATGAGTACAGACAGAGCAGAGATCAATATTGGCTACAGGAAAGTGCAGCATGGACCACAAAGGGTGGAAAAAAACATTTAGGATGAATATTTTTAATAGAAATTCAAAAAACCATGTGAAAAACAAATCTTGCAGTCACTATTTGTCCAAAGGAATAGAAAGTTTTAGGCAAGAAAGTGCAAATGTTTGGTAAAGTTATAAGAAACAATAGCAAAATGTAGAAGTAACTCTCAAAATCCTGGACCAAGTAAAATCATCTGATGGTTCCCAACCAATTATGTTTCCCCACTCCCATCCCCAGGGCAGATTTATTTGCACATTATATTGAGAAGAATCCTATTTATTTATTTATTTACTAGCTACTCCCCTCCATAGTATGTCACTCCATAGCCCAAGGATTCTCTGGGCAAAAAAACAAGCTGTGTCATACTTCATGGATATGGGGAGAGGGGAAGACAAATATTAATAAATCCCATCCTGCCTAGACATAGCCTTTCAAAAGCAAAGAGTACATTAAAAAAAACTTAGATCTCTGCACTGTACCATTTGCCCAGTCAGAGCCATTGTATTACTCTAATCAGAAGTACAATCTTCAAGCTACCATTACTAGCCGTGATCTAAAAGTACCAACTATCCCATTAACTCCATGAAAAGTGTCAACTGGGGAGGGGAAAAAAAAACAGGAAGAGTTGCCAAGAGTCAATATCGCTTGACTTATTCCAATTTTATGGTGGCTTGTACAGCTGGCTTTAACTCATTCAGTGTAGAAAGATGTGCAGAAAAATACACAAGGCTTCTGAGTCTGAACCTCAGATGAATAACAGATTGTAACTCATACTAAATAAAGCATCATTTTTATTTTACCTCAGCTAAAATTGTTGAAATTCTTATTTTTCCATTAGAAAGAAATTATAGTTTAAGGGTTAAGTCTACAGGCACTAACACCAATAGTAGCGTTGCCATGACAGGATCCCCCAGTGCTACATAGAAGCAGAGGCTAATTTTACTTACACATCTTCCACGCGAACTCGCTGATAGTCAGAAAGGATAGCTCCTACTGAAACAGCTTCCACGTTTTCTTTATCCTGAAACATATATGTACAAATTAAAACTGAAAAATGAAGAAATTATTGACGCTTCCATTAATGTGAGCTGCATTTGTCACATAGTTAGTTACCCCTTAAATGTATGGAGAACAGAAGTGATGTTCAAAATCGGAGACAACAGTGATTTGAGGAAAAACTGCCCCATCAAATCCTATACACTAATGAAACCTATTATCAAAAGCAAAACTGATGTCATCTCAGCTGAAGCACTACAAAATATTGCAGATCACAATTCATGAGAACCAATGAATTCTGACAACAGAGAAAGTAAGCCAGTAGCGCTATGGTTAAAATAATTTTTGATGTCTGCTTTTCCAGCCATATTACCATTGTGTGTTTACCCCTACGCAGTGGTTCCCAGTTAGTTTTGGGATCCAATTCAAGGTGTTGCTCATTACTTAGAAATCCCCAAAATGGCCTGCAGCTATGATATTTGTAGGATATATTATCCCACTTGAAGCTATCCTTCAATTGCATTCACCTTCAGAAACTTTGTTCCACATTCCATCCTCTAAAGGGGTGCAGTGGCAAGGATATGAAGCAGGCTTTTTGTCAATGGTTTCCTGATTATGGAACACCTTTCCTCAAGGGAAACAAGACTGGCTTATTCTTTCAATTCTTCTAGATGGGTGACCAAGACAATTTTTTTCAGTCAAGCTTTTACTACATTTAGTTCTGCCTATATGTGGAGTCACTAGATAGAGCAATCCTAACTAGTGGGTGGAGAATAAAGTTCTAGATTATTTGCCCTCCAAAGAAGGGTAGGAACTGGTAAGGTTTTTCCTTCCTGTTCCAACTGCTTTTTAAAATACCTTTACCACTGATTTTAAGGCTAGTGCAATTTATGGATACAATCCTCTCAAGGGAATGAAGAGCTTTGCCAATGGGAGATATACACCTACAGGCCCTGCTCCCTCTAGGAACAGCTACTCTCTACCAATGGGGAGGCATCTCTGTTATGTTTTGGTTATTCTTGGTTTTAAATTGTCTCTAGTTTAAATTATGGAGTTATTTCGATTGCTGTAAACCTCCTTCGTGGATCTCTTTAGCATCCAAAGACAGAGTATAAATGGTCTTATAAACAGGGTCAGACAGCTGGAAATATGGTATCCTTCTGAACCTTCATTAATACTGATTATTCTGCCATCTTAAGTCTCCCCTAGTTGTAGAGCCATACATTAGAAACTAAGAAAAATCCTTATTTTTAAAAAACCAAAAGTTATCAGTATTTTTATAGTTGTTTAGCTACAAACTATTTAGCTATTAGATTATACCACTGCTACCCTTTTCTTAATCTCCTATAATTAAGCAATGTCACATAAGTAGATTTTATTTATTTAAAACTTTTTAGACCATCCTTTACCAAAATCTAGGGACAGTTTAACAATAAACTGGTTTTACACTCATGCAATGATATTTTCCCCTTCTTTTCTCCCCCTTGCAATCCCTCATGCCCTCCCAGAAGCTATTCTGGTGAATCCCACAACCCTCCAGTTTGAGGGCATGAGACGGGGGGGCTGCAGTGACAGGGAGGGAGGAAATCGGGAAGCTATTTAGATGCTACCCTACACCTTAAATCCATGCTATTAAGCTCTATACCAGTGATGTGTCCACTCTACCTCACAGCCCAGATATTTTGAAGTCAGCTTGCCTGCCAGGAAGAAATTGTTGCCACTGATCAAGACTGCTGTTTCCTCACTGCTGTGACTTTTATAGCTGATACACTTTCTAGGTATTTGGTATAATAACGTGAACAAGATGAAGCACTGGAGGGGACAACAAAGGTACGATCTATGTCAACATCACTGCAAAGAGCATGCTGACAAGAGGGCATTAGGTTGCATTTATAGTTGTAGCTGGACAGAGTGGAACAGAAATAATCCACAAATTAGGGCCTGGTGCTAAAGTGGGAACGAAAGGAAGAAGCAGGATTAGAACTTAGTTTACTATGGCAGGAGTCGATAGTTTCATTGATGGAACCTGTTGATAGCAAGTGCAAGATGATAAACAACATAGACAGGGATGCCAGGGAGTCATCACTGTAGTTCCTAGACTTGCAGGTATCAGGGAAGATATTTTAAAGAACTGAGTTTTCTTGAGAATCTAAATCCCATTGTCTATTGTAAGAGAAGGAGAAGCACTCCCCAAAGTCACTGAGCTCATCAAATGAATCGAAACACTATTTCTGACATGGAATCAAGAACTCGTACATTTGATGTGATACTCAGAAACGTGTGTGAAAAGTCACTGAAGCTTGCAAAGAAGTCTGTGCAGAAACACTTTGAACAGAAACTTGGGAAAAGGCCATGGCTGAGTAGAATCTGAAAGTAGCGACTGCAGGTTATTGTACAAAGACAGCAAGTTAAACTCAGTTGATTTTTGTTCCCTTCGTTGCAGTAGGGTATTGTCTACATTATTCTAATGTGCTTTATTATATTATAAAACACTACACAAACATCACTATGCAATGTACTTTAATCAGATTTAACTATGCTACATACCATTTTTAGTAAGTGTCAAGCAGGAATAAATTCACAGGTTCTCAAAATTCATCACAGCCAACTTGCCTAAGTCAAGGGGAAAAAAATCTGTCTCTTCAAATGTAGATTAATGAAAGATGAAATTCTCATTAACCAAAAACAAAAGCCTCTAGCCATATTGATTTCTGAGCAAATCTGCAATATATGCTTGAAGCAGTTTTGTGTACAAAACCGAGCACTCTGGGTGCCACAGCACACTGCTAAATAAAAGCACACTTGCCTTCCAGCCTTGGCTAAGAAGAAAGAGCTTGGAGTGCAGAACCAAGGGACGCATGTGGCCAGTTCTGAAACCTCTCCAAGACTCAAGGACAGGGAGCCTTGTTCCTAGAGGTCACGCAAGGGGAAAGACAACGAATGCGTCTGTGAGAAGAAATACAGGAAGGACCCTCAAGGTAATGAGAGACAATTTTAATATAGAACTTGGCTTGAAGAACAGAAGCAGAGATTAAGAAAGGCACTTGATCAAATGGGGTTTTGACAAATGAAATGTAATGAGCCACCAGAATTCTCAAATCCAGTTTGCATAGTGCAAATTACAATTTTTGGTGCAGTTGGGATGCACACAAGTAGAATATTTCAAAAGCTTTTTCCTTCAACCAATTCAAAGAAGAAACTATAAAAACTCACAGAAAAACCAACATAAAGAATACAAAATGTTTACAAAACAGAACTGCATTCTCCTTCATTTTAATAACATATCACAACCTTGCCACTTCATATGTTTTTCCCCCTCTAAGAAGCAGCTATAAGCTTCTGAAAGAAAAGACCATGTTCTTTCAGAATGTACCTAGCTAAAGGATCATTTCTCTAGTTCCAATTACAGTTCAGGTCTGTCAGTGGCAAGCACGATTAAAACAATCTAGGTTGTCTTATTCAGAATTTAATCAAAAGTTTGAACCTGTTTTCAAATCTTAATGATATTTAAAAATCATTCTTGGTCAGTTTTAAATATGATTATGACTCATGTGGAAAACACAATAGGGAAAGTGTGTGAAAGTTAAGATTTTGGGAATATGCTGTGCTAGACCCCAAAATTACAGCTTGTATCACTGATTAAGTATAATTATTGGCTCTTCTGTGCCATGTTATACTTCTGATATCAGAATGTCACTTAATGTGAAGATGAAGGGCTCTGGCATAAATCTGGCACACCAGAGGACCAAGTGTGGCACTCTATGGTTACCTAGGAGTACCCTCAAGTGTCACCTGCTTTCCCCCAACCATAGATGCTGGTGGTTTCTCACCTTTTGTGCAGTTTCCCCCAATATAAAAGGGCTGATATGCTCCTTGAAAGGCTTAGTTACTAGCAGTAAGAGTTTTAAGCTAAAATAATATAATAGCTGATATTTGTGATCCTGCCCTTTTGCCTTTGGCCTCCCCCACAACAGCAACTCCCAAGAGCTTTTCTGATGCAGAATTCACTCTTCAGGTTGAAAGTGTTTCTGTAGCCCAGATACAGTGTAGGTACCACTTCACACTAAGATTATTTGTCATTTATAAAACTGGACTTTTCTAACTTCCCATGGCTCCTGTTTTACAACAATACATGCTCTGTAGTAAGCTACCAATTTCACATCATATAAAAAAATAGAACCTCTTGTCATCAGCTGAACTGACTCATCAATGGATGATTTGCATATTCACATCCTTAAAAACAAGAGACACTTAATAAAGCTATTTGCATAACTTATTAAATTCCCCTCCCACTTTGCTAGAAGTGAGCCCAACTAAACTCAATGGAACCTATTTTTAGTAGGTATATATAGAATTGGAGTACAGAAAAAAGCCCCTTCAGGCATTCAACTGAATGTGTGAGAGCTTTTTGTGGGTAGAGGGGCTTAACTTCACTTCATTCTTCGCTGTCTTTTTCTGCTAGTGGAAGAACAGCAGAGAGGGATCCAACCTAACGTAATTTTGGCTGGGAGTTCCAACCTAGAAGAAGCCACCAGGAAGATGGTGTTTCTCTCATGTTTCTACCAAAGCCGCCTCTGAAGGTGGAAATATCTGGCACAGTGCTTCCCCCAATAGCTGGGCAGGCTCATATGGGCAATGGCAGTCTTTCAGGTAGCTTAGTCACAAGCCAGATAGGGATTGAAAGGTTATATTTGAACAATCCAGCTATCAGTGCAACACCCCACTCACTAACAAAGTCAGAAAGAAGGATTTCATGGTGAGGTACTGCTCGCACCTGTCAGGGCAAAAGATGTTGATGGAAATTTGTATCTTTATTTCCCTAGCCAGTTGTAACTATCGTAAAAACAAACAAACAAACACCACCTTCCAGTAACAATAACAATGCAAACTTTTCAGCTGATGTTTTTCTCCACTTCCACAGCTTCTCCTGATTTGTATGACATGCCCCAGAATACTGCCCACACACACTTTTTTAGGCAGGGCCTAAAGACTTGTTCTTTGAATCTGTTTTAAGACAAAGACAGT